AACTGAAAAAATGGTCTTTTTTTCTGATACTCCTGTAGCTCCAGTAACCGTAGTATAAGTTTTAGACAGCGGCCCCACTGGTTCTGTTACCACCGAATGCTCAGCACCTGTATCTACCATGAAATCTATTTGTTGGCCCCCAACCTTAACCTTCACCATAGGCTCCTAGGGACCTAGAAAAATGGAGCCTGGTCTGTTTCAGAATTCATAGCTGTCCACCCCAGCCATAGCAATTAAGGCTGTATCCTGATTATTTGGGGCCTGCTGGCTTGCTGCTGCTGCTGCCGCTGGCCCAGATATTACATGGGGATAAAACTGGTGGCTCTGTGGGGCACCTGATTTTTGTAGACTGCCCTTTCAGGGCCCTCATCCTTTCAGTGTCCTTCCTCTTTGCACATCACACATTTATTTCTCTCTAGTCTGGGCTGGGTTTCAGACTCCCGTCTAGCCATACCTCTTTCTCACCTTCTTCCACGTCCTCCTCCATGCCCTCTCATACCCCACTTCCTCTTTTTTTTTTTTTTTTTTTTTGGAGATGGAGTTTCGCTCTAGTTGCTCAGGCTGGAGTGCAGTGGCGCAATTTTGGCTCACCGCAACCTCTGCCTCCTGGGTTCAGGCAATTCTCCTGCCTCAGCCTCCCAAGTAGCTGGGATTACAGGCATGCACCATTATGCCCAGTTAACTTGTATTTTTAGTAGAGATGGAGTTTCTCCATATTGGTCAGGCTGGTCTCAAACTGCCGACCTCAGGTGACCTGTCTGCCTTGGCCTTCCACGGTGCTGGGATTACAGGCATGAGCCACCTCGCCCAGCCTTCTCTCTTAACTAAGGCAGCTAGCTGCTAGTAAGTCCGCTTTTGCTTTGCCTTATACCTTGCCTTTATCTCAGCCTCCTCTTCCTGATTGTGAAACACCTTTGTAGCCACTCATATGAGTTTACTGGCATTTTTGCCCTCAAATTCTTTTAGCTTTTGTAATTTCCATTTCAATCTTTTATTGCCAGGCTCACTTTTATTCCTGAGGTCTCTATCTCATTTGTGCTTCCTCCTCCTTTCACTCCTCACATTTGCCATTTCACTTGCTGTTACACTAGCTTGGCAGCTTTTTCTTGCACTGTTCACTTTATCTCAGCTGCTTGAGCCGGTTGCCCCACACACAGCTGCACAGCCGGCTCTCTCTTGCCTTCAGGGTCAGCAGTTTAACTCTTTTTCTCTCTGATTTTTCTTTTTACTTTTTTTTTTTTTTTTTAAACATACTGGGGCCGGAGCGGGGCTTGCCCTGGGATGCTGTAGCCACTGCTTACACTTTTCTTGCCCACGGGTGGCCTCCTTGGGGCACAGGTGGTCAGGTAGGTGGTGCTGCCCTTGCCTGACCTGCAAGGTTCCCAGTGCGTGACCCTGGACTGTCCTACTGCAGCTATGGCTGCTGCTCAGTCAGGCTGTCCTGGCCCCTCTTGCCACCATGGCTAGCCCCCCACCCAGTGTGAGTGGGCATTGCCACGCAGGGGCGGTCCGCTCGGTGTTTCTGCTGTGCTGCTCCATGCTCAGTCTCGGCCCTTCACAGCGCTTCACAGGCACACTGTCTGGCTCTAGCCCTGGTGCAGTCACTCAAGCAGCCTGGCCTCTGTGCGCCTGTGACCTTGCCTTCTTGAGCCCCTCCCCTGATAGGCAGCTGGCAGAGCCCCTCCTCATGTGGCCACTAGTGGTCCTTGCAGGCACCCCCGTGGCCGCCCCAGGGGGGCCCTCACCAGGGCTTTGGTGGGGCTGTCTTGGCCAGTGCCGCTTCTCTACTTTCCTGATTCTGCTGCTGGTGGGGGGAGGGGGGTCTTAGCTCTTTTGTCTCCCCCTGCGTGGGGCTTGTCTGTCCCCTGCCCCCTAGTCATAGGTGGTGGAGGCGTTGGCCTGGGCTCTGCTCTCCTTACCCCCTTAGTCCTAGGCAGTGGAGGCAGAAGTGGTGGCCTGTTTGATCACCTTGACTTTCCTCTCTAGCTTCCTGGGGCAGGGGCTCAGATTCCACTCTGGGAGTGTAGCCTGGGGTGTGTCACCATCCTAGCCTGGCCGCTCGGGCTGGGGGCATTTCTGTCTCCTCTGGCGATTCCTGCAAAACCAGTTTTCTCTGTTTTCCCTGTGGCTTTTCCTTTGTCTCTGAAGCTCCCGGCAAAGCTGATTTTTCTTTCATGCTGGGGTCATGCTCGAGCTCCAGTGTTGTGCAATAAGCTGCCAGACAGGGCTGCAGCCATGCAGGTTGGGTTTGAATTATATTCAGCCATAAGTCGATATAAGGGAATTGGTCCAGATGCCCTGGCTGTCCTCCGACCCTGGTCACCACCTTAAATAGACAGCTAGTTGTTTCCTTGTCTGTCCTCACGTGACCACTAGTTCTTCAGCTGGCCATCCAACACCAGAAGAAGGCCATTCTAATTCACAAAGAGTTCTCAACCCTTGAGGAGTTAGTTTCACACCATAGTCTCTCTCAAAGTCCTCCTTAAAATTT